CCCCTCCTCACCCCTACCTGTCCCCGGCCCCGGCCCCATCCGGCTGAGTCACAGCTCTGTGCCTGTGGGCTTTTCTGCAGGACCCAGCGGGGCCTCTGTCTGAAATACACCAGATAAAGGCATTACTTGACCTTGTGTCTGCTGTGGACTCCTGGCAACTTAGTGAAGCTAGGACCCTTCCCAGATAGCGTTTTTAAATGGAGTAAAATCCCATTGAAAGCTATATTTTAGTACAATTGCTACCAAACTGTTAAGTGTGTGGTATTTTAATATGTTGAGTCCTTACAAACCTGGGAGCTTGTTAGAAATGCAGAATCTCAGACCCTACCCAGGTCCACTGAGTCAGAAACTATATTTTATGTTTTTATGAGTTCAGCTTGAGACGTGAGATATTGGTCAAAGGGTACAAACTCTCAGTTATGAGATGAATACATTCTAGGGAACCGAGGTACAGTGAGGTGACTGGGGTTAATACTGTATCCTTTGTTATATTCTGAAAGCTGCTAAGAGTAACTTACATGTTCTCATAAATTAAAAAAAAAAAAAAAAAGTAATTATCAGAGATGATGGAGCTGTGACCACTATAAGGGTAATCATTTCTCAATACACATAGATATTAAATCCTCACGTTGTATACCTTAAACTTACACACTGGTATATGTCAACTAGAGGCCTGTGCATGAAATTTGTTCATGGGCAGGGTCCCTGGGCCTGGCCAGTGATCAGGGCCAATCAGGTCGGTCTGCCGGCTGGGACCTTCCTTCCCCCAGCTGCTGGCTGCTGGCCGGGGCCTTCACTCTGTGCTGCCCCCTGGTGGTCAGAGCACGTCAGAGAAAGTGGTCCAACTCCTGGTCGGTCGAACTCCGGAAGGGACAATTTGCATATTAGCTTTTTTATTATATAGGATTATAGTATCTCAAGATTCTGCATTTAAATGCCACTCCTACCCCACCCCTCAGATGACTAGTATGGACATCAGCACTGGGAAGCCCCACATTGAAGGTTAGAACCTCGTGGGCTGGTCTGCTTGCTAACTCCCTTCGTTACGGAGCAGCGATGAACATAAATGTTGCTTTGAAAATGTTGCTCATGTCTATTCACAAGGGTCTCGGGTACCATGATTAGTGTGGTCAGCTAACCAAATCCAAAACAGGAGGAAATGCTGAAATTCAGTTAGGAGTTTTAGAAACGGAAGTGTGATCATTTCCCACACAAGGTCTTTGACCCTCTGGATTGTCTCTACCCGTCCCAAATGAAGAATCCCCCATCTGGAATGTGACAGGTCATCTGGTGCAAGAGAGACAATGACAAGCTGGCTGGTTTAGATGAGCATTTGCCTAACGGTGACTCATCAGTTATGATCGAATTTCCCTGTGCAGAGCGAGCCACACACCGCAGTCCCTGGGGCAGGAAGCAGATTTCTCCGGGGAAGGACAGCCGACAACTCAGTAGTAAACAACTTACTTCAGGGTGCATCTCTGACGTAGCAGCTTTTGACATCGTCATCGATCCGTTTTATTTTATATCTTCCTGGGCCGTCATCCATTTTATCACGTCTTCCACATTTATTGGAGTGAAGTTCTACTTGATAGTTGTGATGAAATTTGACCATCGATAGTCCCCTTTCTCTCTGCAACGCCTCTGTCCTCAACCAGGTACAGAGTTACTCCCCTCCCTCCACAGGAGACGACATTTGGCAATATCTGGAGACTTATCTGACTCTCACAACAGGAGAGGGAGGTGTACTGGCAGCCAGTGGGGAGGGGTCAAGGATGCTGTGAAATAGGCTGATATACAAGACAGCCTACCGCCAAAACCGGTTTGGCTCAGTGGATAGAGCGTTGGCTTGTGGACTGAAAGGTCCCGGGTTCGATTCCGGTCAAGGGCATGTACCTTGGTTGTGGGCATGTCCCCAGTAGGGGGTGTGCAAGAGGCAGCTGATCGATGATTCTCTCTCATCGATGTTTCTAGCTTTCTATCCCTCTCTTCCTCTCTGTAAAAACTCAATAAAATATATTTAAAAAAAAAAAAAAAGATAGCCTACTGCAAAGGAGAACCTGGCCCAAAATGGTGATAGTGCAGAGATAGAAAATCCTAGTTTATTAGAATCTTCCCTTTTAAAATAAATAAATAAATAAATAAATAAATTCATTTAAAAAATATTTTCATTGATTTTTAGAGAGAGGGATGGGGAGAGAGAGATAGAAACATTGTGATAAGAGAGAAACATTGATCGGCTGCCTCCTGCATGGCCCCCATCAGGGATTGAGCCCCAACCCGGGCATGTGCTCCAACCAGGACTCAAACCAGCGACCTCTTAATGCATGGGTTGACACTCAATCACTGAGCCACACCAGCTGGGTGGAATCTTCTCTTTTTGACCAAACCTTCCCTTTTAACAACCAAATTTGGTTTTCTTGATCATGTGCTGGAATCTTCATTTATTTCTTCTAGTTTATTGACTCCCATATGATTCACTTGTTTTCAGCCTTCTGTTAAAAATGAACTTAAAAGTGATGGGTTATGGCACCCTGGCCAGTGTGCTAAGTGGTTAGAGCTGAGGAGTCTTGGGTTTGATTCTCCATCAAGGCATGCACTTGGGATACAAGTTCAATCCCAGCTCCAATTGGAGCACATGTGGGAGGAAAGCAAACAGTGTGTCCTCTCACATCATGTTTCTCTCTCTCTCTCCTCCCTTTCTCCCTTCTAATCTCCCTACAAAGCAATGGAAAAGATATCCAGAGGTGAGGGTTAACAACAACAAAAAGTGACGGGCTGTAGGTGTTGATACATGGCACAGTCTGCCCATCCTAGGAGGTTTGTAATCTGATTTGGATTCATGAACAAAAATTGCTTGAAAATATGTCCTACAATTTTCACGCTGACTTTTTCAAAAACCTTTTGTGAGACCATGTTAGGTCAAAAAGTTTGATTCACATCTACTTGGTGAGTTTAATCTTTTCTTTAATATGAAATTTCTGGTGGCTTTCATCACCACAATTTCAATATTAAAATTATATTCCTGTGTTCTTTTAACATTTTTCTAGAGTGTTGTTTTTTTTTTATATATCATTTTCTATTCCTTGTCATTTTTACTTAGGTCTCTTAAGCACATTAAGCTGACTTTTTGAAATTTTTTGAAAATATATTTTTATTGATTTCAGTGAGGAAAGGAAAGGGCGAGGGGGAGATAGAAACATCAATGATGAGCGAGAATCATTGATCGGCTGCCTCCTGCACACCTCCTACTGGGACCAGCCTCTAACCCAGGTATGTGCCCAGACCAGGAATCAAACCTTGACCTCCTGGTTCATAGGTCAATGCTCAAACCACAGAACCACACCACACTAGGCAGACTGACTTTTTGAAATTTTTAACAAGTAAGTTTAATCCATTTATGTTTGTTGTACTTATATTTAGTTTGATTTTTACCAAATTTTTGTGTTGTTTTTTTTGTTTGTTTGTTTGTTTGTTTTGTGTTTTTTTTAATGGTTGGTTCTCTCTTATATGAGAAACAATACTTTCCATTTCATTGCTTTCTCATATCCTACATTTTATCCACTTCCTTTTTTCCCCTTGATGTGTATATACAATTCAAGAATGATACCCTGAGTCATCTGTCAGCTGGCTTTCTTTTTCCCCTGAATGCCAGTTCAAATGTAGGATTCTATTTAAGCAATTCCTGTAGAACTTTATAGATTTTATTTCCATCTTGCTACCATCAGTGTGGTTTCAGGAGTTGTGTGCTGATCTGAACGTTTTTCTTTCTGAAGCCTTGAATAGCTTACCATTCTGGGCTTTTGAATTTTTGGCCACCCTTTCTAGATAAGGCATCTTAAGACCCATGGCCATGTTTGGTGTTGAGAAATAAATGATTTGCTCTGTCCTGTCCTACCCAATCTAGAGTTAGCTGTCATATATATCTTTTCTTTTTAGTTTCTCTGTTGTAACATCCTTTTGCTAGTCAACTTATTGGAAGAGAATGGAAATAATTCTGGGAATGAAAACTGCTTTTATAACTTTAAGTTCTTGATTTGGACGTGTCCACACACAAAAAAGATTGCCTAGACAGCACAATGTAGCAGATACTGGAGCAAAACTGCCTTTGTTCAAGTCCCAACTTCAGCCTTGAACAAGTTGGCATGTCTTCCTGGTTCTGGCTTTCCCCGGCATTTGATTCCTGGGTGGAATCATGTGTATTGGACATGATCTGTCTGAAGTGTTGTAGGGGAGGAAAGGATTTGGAGAGATGTTCTGAGCACGGGGATCTCTGTCTCCCAGCGCATCTCTAACTTCTTGGGCCGTTTGCGCTATTTCTCTGGTCTGAGCACCCTCATTTTCTGGTAGCTGGGGCAGGGGAACTGTGGGAGGGTAGATACTGTTGCTCCTTGCAGTTTGGCATACAGAAGGGAGGGACCCTCCTGGCCATTCTTTATGGGTTCATCAACGAGAGCCAGAAAGCTGCTCTAAGACACTTAGGCCTGAGTACTTCTGTGGCCACTCCCATGTTCCCAAATGGGGTTTGGCCTGTGATTTTCTCCTTCAGTGTGATTTTATCGAACCTGTCCTTTGAATGCTCCATGATTCCTGAGCGTCCCATGCATGGCACACCTCTCCTCTCCGTGTGGGCATCTAGATTTTTAAAATATATTTTTATTGATTTCAGAGAGGAAGGGAGAGGAAGAGAGACAGCTAGAAACATCAATGAGGAGAAAAAATCATTGATCAGCTGCCTCCTGCATGCCCCCCACAACCGGATCGAGCTCACAACCCGTGCCCTGACTGGGAATGGAACCATGATCTCCTGGTTCATAGGTTGATGCTCAACCATTGAGCCACGCTGGCCAGGTGGCACCTAGATTTAAGTCTTTCTATCCCGGGCATTTGGGCAGAAGGAAGAGGCAGACCCATGTGCCCAAACTACCATTTTGGTCAGATCTCTTTGCAGTAGTCTTGATGAGAGGAACCCGTAAATCCTTGAATCTTTCATGTATTTGAAGGAGACAAACCACACAAGTGTGAATTCTGCGACAAGTGCTTCAGCCGGAAGGACAATCTGACCATGCACATGCGCTGCCACACCAGCGTGAAGCCCCACAAGTGTCACCTGTGCGACTACGCCGCCGTGGACAGCAGCAGCCTGAAGAAGCACCTGCGGATCCACTCGGACGAGCGGCCCTACAAGTGCCAGCTCTGCCCCTACGCCAGCCGCAACTCCAGCCAGCTCACCGTGCACCTCCGGTCCCACACGGGTGAGTCCCTGACCCGCAAACCTGGGCCTGACCTGCCAGTTTCTTAATCTTTATTTACCTAAAACACAAGCAGCGTAAACACCCTGGTGGTTATAAAGGAACATGGACTCTCTGTGGTGATGGTGAAGCTTGTGGTTTTAATTAAAAGATGAAAACCCAACAGCTGGGTTTCCTAACGTGACTGCATAGAATGCAGCTGGATGAGTAGGCAGTACAGCAGCCAGGAAGCAAAGGCGTATCTTGAATTATCTGAAGTATAAACTGGGTGTTTCAATCTTTTCACTAAAACTCTGATTGCATAGTTTAATCCAGAAACATGTAGCAAAAGCAGTGGAATGTAACTGCAGATCACAAACTTCCAGTTATAGAAATTGGGCTTTGCAAAGACCTTTTCCTTCCCTTCTTTATGAGGGCCCCATCGAAATAATGATCAATCAGTCAATAGACCCAAATAATCCATCGTGGCACAGAATAATGGGGATTGGGAGTCTCATAAGAAGGTTCCTAAAAATGAGAATTTTCAGTGAATTCATGGAAGATGGCAAGCAGACAGAAATACGTTGTCATCTAAAACTGAGTAAAGAAACCTGTCCCAACAGACAGATGGGAGGCAGCCAGGCTGTGGGAGCCAGCCCTTGCAGCCAGTGTCCAGCTGGCCTGAGTGTTCTGGACTTATAGACAGCCAGGCCCCAGAGCTTAGAGAAGCTGAGCCTATTGGCAAAATGGCCCAAACTATTACCCAGCAGATAAATATCTACGGCACCTGTGGCTAAGGAACCCAATCCATTCTTCCTAAGCAAAGTATCAACTGTGGATTATGAGTCATTTGTGGGAAATGATGTTGTAAAAAGCACCCAGTCTAACAAATAATTCTGGAGCTAACAGGGTACCTGGGTGATAGATGAAAATTTTTCAATTCTAATTGGTATCAATCCAGTGGCAGAAATGTTGCATCCAAGAACAGTTCTATGAAAAAGTAGTAAGAACAAAGAGGTGTGAATTAAAGGTAGGATTGCTGGCTCAAAATCTTTTAAAATCCCAGAGATCAGGGGGGGGAAAAGTGTTGGAGAACTAAGAACAAATATGAAGCTAAAAGTCGGGTTGCTGACTAGGTCTAGGAAGAAAAAAAAGTAGAAGTGAGAAAATCAGAAAAATGATTTCATAGCTCTAAGGGGCCGGTGTGAAGGCCCTCACAAGATGTCACGCAGGGCCAAAGGAGGGGCCAGAGCAGTCTCTACCGAGAAAGACTCCTCAGTAACACTGGCTTTTGGAGACAGTGGAACGGTGGCTTCTAAGCTGGGAAATCATTTTGAATGTAGAATTTTATATCCAGCCCAACTGTCTCAAGTCCAAAGACAAAACAGACAAAGGTATAAACAAGCACTCAGTCTTTTCTCTAAGCCACCATTCTAGGGAAGGTACTGGGAGATAGACACTATCAAAACAAGGGAGAAAAATTTGACCTGAGGTATTTGATATATGAATATCTGAATACAGCTAGCTGGGATGGCAGTAAAGGGAAATAGCAAGATGATAACTTGTATAAAAGGCTAAGAGGAAAAAAAATTAGTAAATCAGAAACTCACAGAAAATTCATTAGAAAGTCCATGTAAATGCTTACATAACTAAAAGACTGGACAACTTGAGAAGATGATGAGGTTCTTTTTACTCAAGAATTGAACAGTGTAGTCAAGAGCATGCATGATGAAATGTGGCTCAAAATGCGTCTGTAGGAAAAGAGGATCAATTAAACCTTTATTATCAACTGACCCAGGTGTGACGGTGATCCTGGAAAGGGGGTGAACATAATCTGTAGTTGGGTATGATGAATATTACATACTGTCGTGATATAAATTACTTCTACAGCAGTCCTCAAATCACACTGTCCTGTTCAATGTTGTTTCTTTTAACGTTGATTGGAACATAACTCTGTTTATATCAGTTAGCCTATGGTAAAACTGGCTCCGTTAACATTCCGATGACATTAAGAGAGGACTCAGTAGAGCTGAACCCTAAAAGGTGAAAACAGCCCTAGCCAATTTGGCTCAGTGAATAGAGCATCCACCTTTGGATCAAAGGGTCCCTGGTTCAAATCTGGGCAAAGGCTCATACATTGGTTGCAGGTTCCTCCCTGGCCCGGTCCCCGGTCAAGACGTGCATAGGGAGACACATAATTGATGTGTTTCGCTCACGTCGGTGTTTCTATCTTTCCCTCTCTCTTCCACTCTCTCTAAAATCAGTGGAAAAATATCCTCCAGTAAGATTAACCAAAAAAAATAAATAAATACAATTTGAAAACAACTAGTCAAAGCTTGAGAATTCGCAAATGTTATTGAACTTAAGTGTAAAAATAAAGCTATTCCTGACAAGAAGAGGGTATCCTCAGAACACCTCTGAAGCTGATGGGCTCACAGTGGTGAGGCTGTCCATCGGAAGGGAATGCTAGAAGGCCAGGGCCGCAACTCGCAGTGCGGGAGGACCCTGGGGGAGAGGTGCCCGTGTAGGGTGTAGGAAGAGTGAGAATTCGTCTTGGCTTAGCGTCATGACGATGATACATAAAGTAGCGACCCCCACAAGAACTAAAAACCCTCGCAGTCCTCCAGGGGGGCCAAGGAGGCTACAGCCTCTCCGTATGTGTCTCCTGCTGCCATCTTCACCTGTTCCTTCGTGTTTTCATTGGGAAAATGTGAAATTTCCGCGAGGAATACGAAGCAGTTAACTGATGTGATGTAGCTTAAACGCTGGAGTCAGCATTTAAGTGCCAGCTGGGTGCGGGACAGGGGTTTGTAACACTGTGTGCACCTCTTCCTCCTCCTGTGTCCAGTTCTGAAATGTCAGGTTAAGGGAGAGTTTAGAAGCGAAGAGGAAGTGTCCTCGTGAAGAGTATGGGCTTGGATGTCACGGTGCCGGGGTTCAGATCCCTGCTATTCAGGATCCATACGTTGACCCCTCTGAGCCTCAGTTATCCCAGCTGTCAAATGGGGGTAGTTGGGTAACGGCACCCATTCACAGGGCTGTTGTGAGGATTCAGCAAGATAATACACATGGGAGCTGGTGTCATTACGAGGCTACAGCCAGCAGAGTCCAAAGACCCCACTGTTCCCTTTGCGGCCAGGTGTTCTGACGCATGGTTGGGGGGAGGTCTGTGTTGCCTGCCTGCTCTAATGGAAACACACCTTCCATTGCTAGGGGACACCCCCTTCCAGTGCTGGCTCTGTAGCGCCAAGTTCAAAATCAGCTCGGACTTGAAAAGGCACATGATCGTGCACTCCGGGGAGAAGCCCTTCAAGTGTGAGTTCTGCGACGTGCGCTGCACCATGAAGGCGAACCTCAAGTCGCACGTGCGCATCAAGCACACCTTCAAGTGCCTGCACTGCAGCTTCCAGGGCCGGGACCGGGCGGACCTGCTGGCGCACAGCCGGCTGCACCGGGCCGACCACCCCGAGAAGTGCCCTGAGTGCAGCTACTCCTGCGCCAGCACGGCCGCCCTGCGCGTGCACAGCCGCGTGCACTGCCCCGACCGCCCCTTCAAGTGCGACTTCTGCAGCTTCGACACCAAGCGGCCCAGCAGCCTGGCCAAGCACTTCGACAAGGTGCACCGGGACGAGGCCCGGACGACGGAGAACCGGGCCCCGCCGGCCAAGGAGGCGCCCCCCCGGGACGGCGGCGGCGGCGGCGGCTCCCCGCACGTGGCCAAGATCGTGACTCAGAGGGCCTTCCGCTGCGAGACCTGCGGGGCCGCCTTCGTCCGCGGCGACTCGCTGCGCTGCCACCGGAAGCAGCACAGCGAGCAGAGCGAGAGCAAGAACGCGGACCTGGTCACCTTCCCGCCCGACAGCGGGGCCTCCGGGCAGCCGGGCGCCCTGGCCTCCTCCGCGGGGCAGCGGGAGGCCGCCCCGGAGCCCAGCCTCTGACCGCACAGGGAGCGTGGGGAGCTGCCCAGACACCCAGGCGAATGCTGCTCCCAGCCATCGGGTGCTGCCATCCAGCCAGACTTACTCACAGGCTCTGGGCACGGCTGCCCCCGACTCCTGGGCCTCCAGACGCCTGCAGTCCCTGTGGCTGGAGGGCAGACACCTCCCATCACCGTCTTCCCTTGGAGAACCCACGAGGCGAGGCGGCCAGGCGGCCCCAGGTGGGGCCTGCTGAGCACTGCTCTGTCCGACAGGACCAGCTTCTTCATAACGGACTCTCCTGTCCTAAGACGGGTCCATCTCCGGTGCAACTGTTAAACGACTCGGACTACACGGGACACGAGAACGGAACTGGCCTGTTGGGTTCGGGTGAGGATGGGTACGCGGGGGCTCTGGGGAGCTCTAGTTCTTACCCCTGGTGGCGGTTGGTGGAGTGTTCGCCTTACACGTTTTTTTGTATAGTTCCTTTTGTCTTAAAATAAAACTCATCAGTTTGTCAGTTGTCTTAAAACTCATCTGCCTACAGCGGTAAGAGGAACATTCCTTTCCTTCCGTGGGCAGGCGGTGGAGGTCTGCTCTCCGCCCGCCCCTCCTTCAGGGATCAGAGATGCTCAGACTCCCCAGGTCAGGGCTGCGGGACCAGAGAGCAGTGTGGCCTGCAGGTGGCAGCAGAGATAAGCTAACGGAAGCGCAGCCGGTCGCCGCTTTGTGAACTCCAAGGTTTGTGTAAAGAAGGGACGAGGGGCTCGGTGCGCCCGCCCGGGGCTGGTTTCTGGGCCTACGGTGCATGGGACAGCCTGAGACCAGCGTCTTTTCATCACAGGGAGCACGTGGTGTGCACGGAACCAACCAGGATGTGAACTTCCAAACCTCTTGTAAATGGGCGCGGTACTTAGCTTAGGAGGCTGCGAACACCAGTGGCTTGTGACTGACCCTAAGTGGCTTTTTTCCCCCTATTTTGTCCTATTTTGGCATCTTTTCTTCAAATACAGTCTGTTTGATACAAGTCCTCAGCAGGCTAAAAACCGATGCTGTTAAGAAGGATGAAATAGATCCATTGGTTTCAGGAAAGTGGGAAAGGGAACGTGAAAACAAATGTGCAGAGATTGCATAGAAGGGACTGTTTCCCTTCTGACCTAGCGAGAGGGACGCAGCTGCTTTTGCCACGAATATTGTCATCGGAACAAACCTGACCGCATTAAGGTCTGGGGTCAGGCGAGTGATGCCTGTTGAACCCGTTTGTTGTGAGGAGATGATGAGAATGAGGAGCCTGCCCCCCACAATAGAACGGATCATTGCTTTGCTTTCGGACATTGTTCCCGTGGCTCAGAGAAGCACGGGTAGCAGCGTGCAGTGCGCTGTGCAGGTCCCGCCGTCCCCGGGCCGCTGTCTGCCCGGAGTCTTACCTGCGCCTCTCTTGCAATAACAGGAGGGCCGTTGACCTCTCACGTGGGAGCCCCGAGACCAGAATCACACAGTGTCCCTCTCCTTCGCTGTTATCCCCCGTGGGTAAACAGGAAAGACGCCGGCCTTCTTAGGAGGCTTTCTTTAACAGCTGCCTGAACCTCAGGCTTACATCTGCCCTGGGCTCACCTTGTGAGTCTGGGTTCCCAGTGCAGCCGAGATCAGGGCAAGTGCGGGACCAGATTCCAGTAAATACCGGAGGCAACAGAATGAGGCTTCCTTTTTCTTTCTCCCCCCGCCCCCCCCCCTCAAAAAAACAATACTATGTATATTTTATTGATTTCAGAGAGGGAGAGAGAGAGAGAGACATCATCAATGAGAGAGAATCATGGGTCGGCCACCTCTTGCACGCTCCCCACTGGGGACTGAGCCTGAGACCCAATGTGCCCTTGACCAGAATCGAACCCGGGATCCTTCAGTCCGAAGGCTGATACTCTATCCTCTGAACCAAACCAGCTAGGGCTATCCTTTTTCCTTTAAGGAAGAAATTAAATGCAGGGACAAACAGCCGAAACCGGTTTGGCTCAGTGGATAGAGCGTCGGCCTGCAGACTGAAAGGTTGCAGGTTTGATTCCGGTCAAGGCCATGCACCTTGGTTGTGGGCACATCCCCAGTAGGGGGTGTGCAAGAGGCAGCTGATCGGTGATTCTCTCTCATCGATGTTTCTAACTTTCTATCTCTCACCACCCTCTCAGGGTCACTGAACCTGGCTGAGCTGGCACAGCACATGAGGAGCCCAATGTGGGGCTGAGTATGCCATGGCTGTGCTGGATTACCACGACTGTGGAATTCAATTTTGTTTATAAAGAACAGATGATTTCTATTGCATTGTGTTCACTTCTCTCTCTTATGTCCATTTACCTTCAAAGTACAGGCACTTTTTACGTGACCAGAGAGGCTAAAAGTCACACATACATGTTTTGGGGATTAAGGAAACTCCTGCACATCCTCGTAGGCATGAGTAATTGAGAATTGTTTGTAATTAAGAACTCATTTAAGAATATAAATTCTAATTAGCTGGCTCTTGATCTGGAGCTGCTTATGTGCCAGACACCCTTCTAGCTCTTACTTAATCTGCATAACAATTCTGGGAGGCAGGCACTGGGTGATCTCCATTTTATAGATGAGGAAGATGAGGTGCAGAGGTCTTAGGTAACAGGACCAAAGTCACGCAGCCAATGAAATGACAGAGCCCGAATTCAACCCGGCGCCCTGAGCCTCGGGGCTTCTGGGCCCCGGGGCCATCTTCCAAGCTCCTCTCTGGTCAGCTCCCTGCACGCTCTGTCTCAGCATTTCCAGTAGGAAGCTCCTTATCGCCAGCAGCGGGAGGCGCCGAGCTGAGCTGCAGCCATGGCTGGATGACAGGTTTTCATTTTTATATTGCTTTTCTACCTTCCCTCCAGTGACCACGTAGTGCTTTTGCAATAAGAAAGCAGTTATGTTAAAATATTGACGGTCCTTAAGGACAGAACACTTCCAGTGCCAGAACATGGCTCATCTCTAATGTCTGAGCCGACCTGCCTACCCACAGCCGCTCAGCGTTACTGTTTTGTGACCTCGAACCAAAGCCTCGGAGATGCCAGAGGCAGATCCTATATTCCCAACGGTAACAGCTGTCCTGTTGCTGTCTCGCACACATCTGGGAGGGCCTGTATGTCCCCAGAACGTAGCACAGACTGAGCACCATGGGGTCTGCACCCCAATGGAATATACCACTGGAGGAGCATGAGATACTCGGGACAGTAACAAACAAAACCCCCACACCCCCAAACAGGGTCTAATGAGAACCGTCTGCCCTGGGAGAAGAGGCGGTACTTCTATGGGACCAGGGTAGGAGGTGGCATTTGGAATGGGCCTTTGTGACCAGAGATCACAGTAAGGGCGTGGTCAAGATGTTTACAACATTCCCGTGGGTTTCGATCGATCCTACTCAATGACATGCACTTGAACTCTGTCAAGCCCACATCACTCGGGCACATGGGATCACGTGTTCAGACCATAGGTTCAAGCTTACAACTACAGCTGTTGGTTATAATTGTGCTGCGAGGATTCTGCCTCCAAGCTGGGACTTGCACGTGGCCATGACTGTGCCCTCTCATCCGTCTGAGGCTTGAACCTGTCCAAATGCTGTAGCCTCTCTCCACACACAGTCAGATGGGGGAAGAGAATCCGTTTGCTCTGCTAGAGGGAGACTTGTTGGAGAGAGCAATTTGGCGATAATGTCGAAATATAAGCTGCAAGTTCCCTTTGGCCCATCAGTTCTGTGTGTAGATTTTTCTCCCGTGGAATGAATTTGATGGGGTGTTAGAATGAGTATGTGCCAGGATGTTCAGAGCAGCTTGCTCGTGAGAGCAGTTAGCAGGAACCAATCAGCGTTTCCGTCGGTGTAGGGCTGGTCAAGTTCGCCGGTGACCGCACAAAGGTTTTCCAGAGACACAAAGTCCTGCTTGGTGCATGTGTGTTGGCATGGAGAGTGGTTGAAGGTGGATCATTAAATGAACAAAAAGTAACTTGCATTGCTCTGTTCAGTACAGTCCCCGCTGATGTTAAAAATGAAGGTATGTGTATGGTCATTGCCTCAAAGGATACGAAAGAACTTGAATGGTGGCTATTTCTGGTAAGTGAAGGAAATGTAGGGAGACGAGGAAGGCTTTTATTACTTTAACTGGTAGCTCTGCGCACAAATCCATGTGCCATTAGCTCGTCAGTAGCTCACTGCTGCCCTCCAGTAGCTCTCTGCCTGCTGCCCCGCCCTCCTGTAGCTCACCCCTCCCCCCCCCAGCTTGCTGCCCTGCCCTCTCCTGTAGCTCTCCACAGCCTGCTTGTAGCTCGCTGCCCCACCCTCCTGCTGATCCGTGATCCAGTAGTTACGTGGTCAGTTGTTACGCTGACCAGGTGTATATTGCATCTTTATTATATAGGATACCCTTCTGTTTCATTCTTGTTTTTACAACAGGCTGTATTAAAAAATATCTTTATTTATCTGCCAGGTTCCCACTCACTCTGCCAGCTTATTCACTTTGATAACCGTGTTTTAAATACGTACAATACATTCATTTTAATGTGAAAAAAAAGTCCTTGGAATTTAAATATTCTGTGGACATCTCTCATTTTTTACGTCGACTTCCTTTTCTCCACCTGCCTCTCCCCTGCACATTTCCTGCCGCTCTCCGGAGCCCCTGGGTGCCGAGCTGAGGGATTCTTCGTGGGTCGGCTTGTGGGTGGCACAGACCTTCTCTCTCCCAGCATGAGCTGGAGGGGCCGATGGCTTTCGCGTGTTTCTCTGCTGTCCTCTGGGATTCGAACTTGGGATGAGACCAGAATTTATGCACTTAGTTCACACAGCAGGCATTTCAGCAGCTGGCCTTTCGGATTGGCCCTCTTTCCATCCACAGCTTACCTTCCTCGCCGGATTGAGCCTGAGACCCAATGTGCCAGGCTCGTCTTCAATAAAACTTTCCCAAAGCTCATCACTCCCAAGGACAAGTAACACTGTACGAGGGGACAGTATGACGCCTCAATGGTATTTTCACACC